TTTGCTGGGCTGTTTCAAAGAAGAGTCTGAAGCCCAGAGAGGTTATGCGCCCTCTCTTTGGCTGCATGATTAGTAAGTGATGAAGCATGAACCCAGATCTCGCGCCCTCGGAACGGGGATTCCTTCCCTTGTGCTGTCCTGTGGGCTCCCCACCCTCCTGTGGGGTTTCACAGGTTCGTCTGAAATGACCTTTGTATGTGTGTGCGCCTGTGAACTTGGCCCCGCCTGCCAACACTATCAGTCATACCCCTTAGAAGATTTACCTCAGTAGCTTCTGAGTGTCGGAGAGTCCATAAAAACTCCAACATAGCCATAAAAATGGCCACGATTAAGCCGCAAATAAGAACCACAAAGATTCCACCAATATTCTCCATTCCCAGTCCTGTAAGAAAGTCAGAACAAACCAAAAATAGTGTAAAAGAGCTGGGAGACACCATCATTCTATCAAAAATGTTCCACGGCATTTAAACAACCAGAACCCGAGTCTTGTAGATGTTTTACACACGCATTCCTGGAAGAGATGCAATTGTTCTTTTGGAACAAAAATGCAGCATAGCTGGAGTAGAAGAGGGGAGGGGACATTAGACGCAAGCAGAGGAGACTGGTGAGAAGCTTTCGAAGGCTGTCTGGGGTGGGAGGGGTGGTCCCTTTAAGCAAAAGGCTAAGGCAAAATTTGATCTCGTGTGTAGAGATGTGATGCCAAAATGCCAGTAAATTCTACAGTTTCATTAAAAATTTAGTCGATCTTCCTAATATTTTGTCTGCTTGACATAAAGCAACTGTCTTAACCAAGCTATGGATAGAAAACATCACCAGGGTAGCTCATTAAAAATACAGATTCTTCATCCTTACCCTAGACTTACTGAATCCTTATCTCTGAAGATAGGGCCCAAGAATCCTTATTTTTAAATGCATTTCACAGGTGATTCTTTTCTAGCCAGGCCTCAACTCTGTTTGCAAATTGGTATTTTGGGAAGTATTATTCAAGGCTAAGTTCCTTGAAGTCAGCATAGTTTTTGGTTATAACCTCACTGCCTAGCATGATACCTGGCATCTAATCGATACACAAACGATATTTGTAGAATCACGTGATTGTTTTATTTCCAGTGTCAAACTCTGAGTTAGCTATGTAACTGGAAGCTTTTTTTTTTTTTCAGTACTAGAGAAATCTAAACTTTAGGAGTGTCCTAAACAAATGAAACCCTGATTCAACAGGGGCCATAATCATAAACCAAAAAGCATCTTTCATTCAGGAAAATGCCAAGAGGGTAGCTTGCGTCCCGTGTCATTGTGGAATGCCTGCACGTTTGCGTGTTTGTTCAACCAGCAGTGTTTTCACGGGGCACAGAGCTACGTCAGTGTCAGGGAAAGCCAGCTTGACACAACACTAAGAGACAAGCCACCCATCAGGAGCAGAAACCTGACACTACTTTCTGCACTTCAGAAGGCTAGAAAAATCGCCCTAGCAAGTCATTCAAGATGTCTTGGGTTTTCTCTCACAAAGTCTCAAATGGAGATCTGTTGCTTTTTGTTTTGTTTTATTTTTGCAATAGCACAGCGCGATGCAGCGGCTGCCTACACTAATGCTCTGCTAGAGTGGCTCCGAGGGCTCCCAGAATGAATGCGTCCAACGGACTCTGTACTCTGGTCTGCAGGTCCACACAGCCAGCTGTTGAGTACTTGTGTGAATCCAAGATCCTCTGTTTTGAATAATCAAAACCAAGAAATAACTTAAAAACTCAATTCCTAGGGGAGGCATGTAGGGTTTGGAGTAGGTTTCTACCTCCCAAGAGGAAGGTGCTTGGGCTTCATTTGAACACCTGTCCCTCCAACCAGGACCATTTGGACAGAAGGTTTTTGACCAGAGGAACATCAGGGGGACAAAAAGGATACCTAAGGGGACTCTTCAAGGACCTAGCTGAGGTGAGCAGGAAGCTGCTCCAGCCACAGCTGTAGGGGTGGTGAGAACAGGCATTGGGATGTACCACTGAGCATCATGGACAGACTAGTTTCTCCAGCCCTCCCTTGGGGAAGGGAGGGGTCCCCAGTGAAGAGGAAGCGACAACTGTGATACCAAGGATGCCGACCTGTTCAGGCAAACAGGACCCCAAGTGACTCTTGAGGTACAAGAGTTTCCTATAGCCTTGGGACAGCTCTGCCTGATGCAGAAAAAAGACTAAGATGCCCTTGAAGGGGCTTGACCTCTCACTGTGTTCCTGCAGAGGAGGTGTCCTCGTGGGGCCCCAGTTCTGCCCCATGGGCTCTAGTGCTTTCCCTGTCACCCTCAGCCACCCCCCCCAGCCCTCCCCACCGGCTCCTTCCCTCAGCACACACACACACACTCACGTCCTTTCCTTCTTAAAGAAAAATAAAAATCCTTCTTCCACCTCCAGCTCTGCCTAGTGAACACCCTTCTCTTTCCTTCCTTCCCTGGCCAAGCTTTTTGAAACAGTTGTCTATATCAGAACTATTTTAAGACAGCCCTTAAAACACTTACATTTAGAGGCCCCCATCTCCGAGGGAAGCAAGTAGAAGAAAAGGCACCCACATCTTATGTTAAATGCATTTAAAATTTTTTGCTTCTGGTGGGAAAGAGTGGCAAAAAACAGTTAATTTATAATTGGTGGTGATTTCTCAGCAATTGTTGTGCATACAAGAGCATGTTTGCAAAAGGAGAAAAATCTAACCAAAAAAAAAACTGCTTCTAAATGTAATGAAGTTTTTATGAATATTACATTAAAAAATTAATGAAGTCGAAACAATGTTACATTTTGGAGATATTTAATTACACATGTCTTAATTTAATTTTGCAGTTTTCTTTTTGCATTTTGGAGCTAATAATTTTTTTCAGACCTCAAACATAATTCTGGACGCTTGAAAAGCTTTTAGGCGCTAGGTAGTCTGTCTAGGGTATCTGAAGGAGAAAATGATTCTGTTCTGAATTCACTTTTATTCCCCCGAATAGTCATTCCTCATCCCTTGCAATTCTGTTTTGCACCATGAAAACCAAGCTTACCGAGGGCACCAACGAACAGTTTGTTTCTAACCTACTGGAAAATTTCCAGTCCTGATCAAACCTCTTGTAATACTTGACATTGTCAACCACACTCCCTTCTTGGCTTTTTTGTTTGTTGTATGTTTTTTGGGAGGGAGGTAATTAGGTTTTTATGTATTTATTTAAATGGAAGTACAGGGGATTGAACCCAGGACCTTGTGCATGCTAGGCATGCACCCTACCACTGAGCTATACCCTCCCTCCTCCTTCTTGGATTTTTATAAAGCCATTGCTCCCTGCTCTCCTCCAATCTTCTCGGTTGCCTTTGCCTGCTCTCAGGCACATTTCCCTTCTCCCTGCATTTGGTCTCTTGCCTCTCCTCCATGCACTGTCCTGCTGATTTTACCTCCTAAATTCTTTTCGATCTCTTACCCTTCTCTCTATCTCTCCTACCACTCCCCTAGTTCAAGCCCCCACTATCTCTTGCTTGGACTTCAGCAGCAGCCTCCAGGGCTGATTTCCCTGCCCGTAGCTATGTCCTCCTCCACTCTACCCTCCAGAGTTGTCTGAGTGACCTTGCTGATCAGAAGCTTTCTGATACATCGTGCATCACTCTAATATTGCATGAAATAATACGCCAGTTTAATGTGCTATCTCTGGATTTCCCACTAGACTATGATTTCCTTGAGGGAAAGATCCATGTCTTGGTCAATTCTGTAACCCCACAATCATGGGCTTGGCTCATCATAAGAGCCCCATAAAGGTTGAAAAAAAAATGAGCAGACAGAAAGAGGATGAAGACATCTCAGATGGAGAAGCCTGCATTATCAAAACGCAGAGTGTAAGCCTGAATTACCAAAAGCTTTGGCTCCATAGTGTGATATGTACTCATTCCTAATTAAATGTTTAAAATAATAGTAAAGAGTGACAGCCCTTGTCGAGTGCTCCCAGCCTGGTGACAGAGGCAGGTGGCCCAGACCGCACTGAGTGGCTGGCCAGAATGGGGCAGAATATGACGTGGACAATCAGCGACAGGGACTGACCGTACGTGGTCCGGGACAGGTGCGGGGACAGAGGGGACGGCTCTAAAGGGACAGGTGATCTATGTCGGGATGATCTTGATCAGATTGGAGAAAGCTTCTTGGAGGAGCTCAGGTTTGAACAGGATGCTGGTAGAAACCATGAGTCACCGAAACACCCCACAGCCTTTCTTTCCCAGCTCCTCGCGTTTCAGGGCCAGCATGTTAACCGCGGGTGCTGGCTCCAGCCAGCTGACTCCTGGCTGAGTGGCCCCCTCCCCCTAGGAGCCAGGCTTGTATATCGTTCATGCCTTTAGGAATTTATTGGAAAGTGGAGGCGAGAAGAGATTGCTGGCAGAGTCGGAGTTGAGAAACAGATGGAGCGGGGAGCAGGAAGCGGGAGTCAGGAGGGAGCAGCAGTTCCATTTAACGCTGTCATTAGTCACTCTCCCAGAAGTCAGATGCCTTCCCCGGCTCACAGTCATCACTCGGAGGTGGACTCCCTCCAGTCTGACCCCAAGGCCCTCGCTGTACCCACAGATGCCTCCACACCGGCCGGGGGGTCGCCTCATCACCCCCTCCCTTCCCTTCTTCAGATGGGACCACACAGAAGCCATCTAGACAGACAGCGTTCCAACTGAGATTTTCTCCTGACGCTTGAGTCTCCGAGCCTTAGCTCTGCCCCGGCAATGACTGGATTAACTGAAATGGAATCGAACTCTCCCACAAGCTCCTGGTTGATTAAGGACTAACTTTGGTTGGTCCCTCACAGCTTGTCCACAAACACAAATGATAGCTGACAAGTGCAAACGAAGAACTTTCTTTGTGTCTAGAACTACAGACAGGAATGGCAACCTGGAAGGGGGTATCTCTGAATAGATCTGACTCTCCACCCATCCACCCACCTGCCCTGCCTTTTCATCGGCAAATAATCGCTTCTTGGATTCAAGTGCAAGTATGTCTCAGGCCTTAAAACTGGGGTGTAACTCCAGGCAGCACTGTGGAAATTTGCAACTCTGATGCAGGGAAGCTCCTTTGAACAGGAAAAGCAAAGAGGCAGAGGCCACAGGAGCCACAGAAGCAGGCGCAGAGAGAGGAGAGACTGGTGTCACAATCCTGCCAAGGGACAGTGAATCCAGTCTTTGACGTCAGTCAACACACCTTTCTTAAGGAGCTTCCAGGGACTAAGCGCTGTGCCTGGCGCTGAAGTTCTGTGCGATATTCCACATCGAAAACATCTGACAAGAACATGCACTTTTTGATCAACATGACTTTAAAGCACTTACAATTTCAGAGTCACATTCATCTACATCCACGTAAATACATTAAACGGTCCCATCTCCACGGACTTATCTGTTGTAAATGGCAACTTCACGTGCCCACGTGGGACCTTCCCAGAAACCATAAAGCGACTTGTCACGTTTGTGCTGCTGAGGCCTGTGGAACACTAAGTTTGCCATTTCTTCTTGTATTCACTGTGACATCTGTTGACTAGACCTAGCAGATTCTGGAGAGAGTGACAGAGTAGGGACAGGGACCCAGAACATATGAAGGATGGGAGAAGCATCTGATAAATTCTGCAATTTATCAAAACACAAGTTCTGGAAGAGGCACTTCACAATTTATCAAAATATGAGTTCAAACATCTCATTTTTAAAGAAACATTCACTATCTCATTCAATTATCATCAAAAATACCATAAAGAAGGCCCACTGAAAGAGCATTTTACTGTTAAAGAAACACAAAATTCAGATAACTTCAGAAATTTGCCCAGGCCTTTGGAGCTAAGATGTGAAATCTAGATAAACCTGACTGCCCAGCTAATGTTTATAGAAATAGAGCTGCCCTTTGTGAATGTTTACTATGACCGAGCTTACCAGCCTAAACCTTTTCATTCCATCTTAACAGTTGTCACATTTTACCTCCATCTTCCTGACAAGGAACCAAGGTCCTAGAATCAGGTAAAGTTGCCCAGGGCCCCATGGCTGGCAAGCACCAGAGCCAAACAGAAGCCAGAGCCTGAGCCCTCATCCCTACCCTACCCCGCCTCTCCCCAGAACTTGGGTCCCTCATGGCCCCTCACGTGGTGGGGGTGCAATTACAGAACTCAGCCTGGCTCCCAGATGACTGAGTTCATTCCTAGGACCCCACACCCCAGAGTCATTGGAAAAGAGGGTCCTATGGATAAGCCATTAATTCCACTTATAAAATCCCTTTCTCTCCTTGGGAACTTTACATCAAATATTTGAATCAATGATTTATTGACTTAATTTTGGCTCACTTTCCAGACAAAGTGGGGCTGCCGTCTTTATAATTGCTGACCTCCTTTGATGCAGACACACCGGGTCGCAGTTTGCCTCTGTTTCTGATCAGGCTTTCTGGCTCCCACCCCTGAGTTTCTCTGTCTCTCCAAATCAATCTAATTTGATTAGGAAGAGGCTTCCTCTGCAAACATCCCTTCGAGACACTATCTAAACTCCCATATTCAGGTTTCCAGTCCTGGCTCTCTCCAGAGAAACCAGAGAACCAGGATAATAGTGCTGGGTCCCCAGAGAAGAAAGAGAGAGGCACATGTCCCCAGAATTGCACCACCCCCTCATCACTGGCCCCCACTCTCGCTAAGATGTCTCACATTTTCATTCCCGCTATGCCAGACAGCAAACTTCCTGCTCTCTAAGGACTTTGTGAGTCAACGCCACCAGCCTCTTTTCCATCCTTGAAAGAGGACCCTGATTTTCACAGCCTGGTGGTGTATTTATGTTCCTTTGAAGCCTGATTGTGAGCCTGTTTCTCAAGATAAAAGTATTTAATTTCTTTGGAATTCACCGACTACCTTTTTGTCTGGCGATTGTTTTGCAAAGCCTTCGGTAATCCAATCCCCTTGAATTGGGATGCTGGCATCTGCGAGTGGCTAGCGATATTTCTTTTTATAGGAGATGGTGAGAAAATAAATAAAATAAATGTTTTTGAAAAGGCAAGGCAGAAGAAAATGAAGCAGCTTGGAATGAAGCCTGCTTCTTTTTGTAATTCTCCAGTCTTCCACATGATCTGCCATTTCGTTTCTCAGCTGCGTATGAGGGGAGACGGTCACCGAGCTAGAGGCAGGGAAAGAAATAGGGGGAGAGGAAGTGAAGGGGTAATGTTGTGGTTCTCACCAGCGCCAAGTGAGACCTGGCAAAAAGACTCAGGATCGGTGGCATCATCCCAATGTTAGGATTCTTCTCTGGAATTTGGCAGTGATGCAGGAGCTGTAATATTGGATTAGAAGTGGGGTAGAGTCAGATCCTCTTCTCTGAAATTCTCACATTTTAATAGGATAACAAAGTAGAAGAGGATTACGTCGTGAGGCACCACACATCGTCTGCTACCTTCTAATTGATGTCACTCTCGGAGGTCTCTGAGAAAATGACCCCCCACACACACACGGTTCCCTTCACCTCCATCCCTCCTGCGTGTTCCGTCTCCCCCTCCTTCCTTTAGGCACATCTGGAAGCCAACTGATTCCAATCACGGAAAAAAAGATCCCTCAGCAGTTGCATTGGAAAGCAAATGAAAAAGACTGCTCTTGTTCAATTTGAGACCCAAGGAAAACACAGTCCTGTGCTTCCCTTCCTGACCACCGTGAAAGACTTGGGGGAAGAGATCTTCTGGGTCTTGCTGAGCCTGTCCTCCTGCCACGGGATGGGGGTCTCTTGCACAGTGAGTTACACTCCGTGAGTCTGACGGCTAATTTGTCAGAGACCGAGCAGCAGTTCCGTTCCTTCCAGGCTAGGGCTTCTGGTCTGGCTTGGGGGAGTTCACGGGGACTTTTGCTCAGCCGGAAAGCCTTTTAGCCTGTCTGAGTAATGTTTGTTTGGGTTTCAGCCACGGCAGAACTGGGGCCACTGCATTAAACTGGCGCTAGATGCTGTGGCTGGGATGGCAGCCCAAGCCCTGGCTCTTAGGGTGATTTGCACAGCATCTCTCAGACAGCCCCCTCTTGGACATCACCGCTTAGTGATACAGCTCACCCTCTCATTGCAAAGGACGACTGCACAGAGGCAAGTGAACATCAGCTAGTTGATAGAACCCTAGCATCCTCTGAAGCACGTGGGACCTGGGCAGGATGACTTCCGCTGTTCATTTCCTCCTCTTCATCTGCTCAGTTCTCTTCTCCTTGCCAGGGACCATTGGGTCTCCAAGTGCTGAGAGGAGAGAAGCCTCATGCTCACTCCTTTCCATCTTCCCTGTCTCCCCTCTTCATCCATCCTGAAATTCTGCTGTCCAATCCGTCTTCCTAAACCTCTGTGGGATGGGGAAGAATTTCCCAAACCAACCACTCTGCAAAAATTACAAGTTAATTTTTCTATAAATGTACCTAATTTCTATCTCAAACTCCTATTTCCACCTGATTGCCAAAAACATAGAGATTTCTTTCTGTTTAAATTTCAGGTTCACTTTCAGTTAATGCCATGTTTTCCCTGTTCCCCCTTCCCTCCTGGATGTATTTCAGGTCTCAGGGTGGGAAGGAGATTATGTGTCAGGAGGGTGGGAGGTTTAGGTGTCTGGTCTTAAGGCTAGATTCCACTTAGATTTCCAATATCCTTTTCTGGGACCCAGGAAAATGCAGGGCCCTCTCTGTCCTGGGTCCCCATGTGCCATCTCTCATGCCCTCACTCTACCGCAGCATGACACATATTTCTGGGGCATGCCAAACTTCAGGAGCAAGCAAAAATCTCTTAACCTCCTGGAATTCCCCACGAATCTAGGAGTTGTGTCTGCCTTTCTCCATCTCCCAGCGGGGCACAAGGCTCCTTTGCAGGGACACTCCACATTCTCACGTATCCTTTCCTGCTCAGAAGCTCCCTGCTCCCACCAGGGCCCCTTTTCTCTGCCTTGCAGACCAGGCGGCCTGGCTCATTAAACTTCCAGTGTCAAGTTTAAGCCAAGCTTCCTTCAGGTCCTGGCCTTCTGTATTCCAAAATCCTTTTCTAGCAAATCAAAAACCATGGCTTCTAAGAACATTGTCTCTGCTGAGGTGTAAGAACATTAAATAAACATGCCTGTATTATGTAGTAAAGTGTAAAATTCACATGTGTTTTTAGGACAACACAGAAGACTTTAAGGAAATTCCAGGCATGTTGGGCTGCTTTAGGCTGTGTCCCCAGATCCCCAAGAGGGCAAACTTAGTTTCCTCTGTCATTAATTCCTTCCACGGGACAGTTTGAGACACACTGGTTTGCAGTCCAAATGCCTTCACCTGGTTTTCAATGCCCTCTTCACTCCAGCCTCCTCCTACTTACCCAAACCAATTTCTGAGTGTGACCGCTATGTTCCACCAGGTGCCTCTTGCCTGGATGCCCCCCTCCCCCCTTCCTTTCCTATTCTGGTCCTGGGCATCTTCAACATCTAGTTGAATCTCTCAAACCCACAAAAGTCTCTGGATAGTTTTCTCTGTACCTCCCCCATTTCTTTTTCCTTCCCAACAAACAGAGTTAGTCTCCTCCACGTTTGACCTTTGGGGATTGGACAGCCAGGAAGCGTGTGGCCTCCCTGGGCTCCCACCAGAGAAGGGGCAATGCTTCTTCTAAATTACAACGGGCTTGCCCCCGCAGGTTCGCATCCCCCAGCCCTCCCCTTGCGGGATCAAGATCCCCACGGAGACAATTAGAAGCACAAAGACACCACTTCACTGTCTCATCCTGGGTAATCATTCATGCTGAGCGGGGAGCCAGGCACACAGATCATTCATTTTACTCCTCAGCTGCCTCCAGGGGTAGAGCGTGTGTAGGTAAATTCTTTGCATATTTTAGCAAGGCTGCGGCAGGTTACTAGGCTGACCATATGATTTATTGTCCAAACCAGGACATTTTGAGGATGAAAGGGCATGCTAAAAATAACGAACAGGCATTAACCGATCTACGACAGGTGTAACCCAAGACTATCTGGACACACCAGGCTGTATGTTCCCCCTACAGAAAATGCTGGGTGTTCAGGGACCCTCGGCACTCCTAACTACACGGGTCCGTCAGCGACTGCTTTTCATCCAGCTGGATTTAAGACCCATTCATTCATTCACTCATTCAATAAAATATTCACGTGCCAGGCCCTGTCGACAGCCCTGGGGAGACAAACGCTGCTCTCGTAAAACTTACGTTCTGATAGAAGAGGCAGAAAGTGAATAAATTAATAGAAAGCATCATGTCAGGGAGCGATAAGCTCCAAAAAGAAAATAAAGCAGAGCCGAGGTGAGCGGGGTTGCGGGGGAAGACCTCTCTAACGGGGCGTCCTCAGGGGCAGCGTGCAGGCCTCGAGGAGGCAGCAGGCTGGGAGGCTCGGGGAACAGAAGGAAAAGGGGGAGGCCAAGGGAGCAATAGGCAGGGCCTGGAGGCCACAGAAAGGTTGAATTTTGTTCTGAGTGAGATGGGAAGTCACTGGAAGGTTGATCCAGGGAAAGGCTGCAATCTTATGTGGGTCTTAAAAAGAATCCCTCTGGCTACTGGTGGAGAACAGACTGCCGAGGGGCGCGAATAAGGAAAGGAGACCAGGCTATGATAAGCCATGCGATAGGCCACGCAGAGCCCGGTGGAAGAGGTGGTGTTGGGGCGGAGGTGGACTCTGGAAACACAGTGGAGGTTGGGTCTCTAGGACCTGTGAGCCAGTGGGAGCCAAGACTCCAGGGCAGGACTGATCCCAGCCAGTCCCGGCCTGGCCCTTCCGAGGCTTGCTCTCCACATGTCCGAGCAGTCATTACCTGGAACTCGGGCACTGGAGACGAGCAGCTCTGGTCCCCAGGCAGGAGGGGAGGCCCTTACCTTTGGCTCTGTGGTCCTCCTCCTTGGGGCACCTGCCCCCTTCCCACCACTTGCGCTTCAGAATTTCCAGGCGGTTGTTCTCCTGCAGCTGGAGAATGGCCAGGTCAAACTCGTCCCGGAAGACCGAGCCTGTGGGTCACAGGAGAGTCCGGGACACAGGAGGTGAGCGCCCTCGTCTGCATCACACAGCTCCCTTCCTGGTAAACCTCCCTGCCACCCTGCCCTGTGACATAGGAGGGGAGTGACAGAGGGGTCCCCGCAGGCGTGCTCTCTCCACTTCGCCCACACCGAGGACTCTTCGTGGAAAGGAGCGAGTTCTGGGTCCACACAGGGCACACTCAGGAGTTTTCTTGTTTCCTTCTCTCCACACTGGCTGGGATGCCCAGTCCATGGCCAAGAGCCCTGCCTGCCTGCGTCAAGTGACAGCCTTCCGGCAGCTGTGCCACCCACCTCCCCATCTGGGCGCCACCACCTTCTATGTGAGTTAATGCGCGAAGCTGGTTGCCATGTTCCCCATCCGCCCGCCTCCAGGAGGCCAAGGAGGGAAACATTCTGGGACACAAACCTCTCAGTCAGCCAGTTGTTTATTCCCTACTTCATTTAAATTAGTTTCTCAGGCACTCTCACTATGTTAACACCCGACAGTGGTTTACTCGGAGCTGCCACCATCCGAGAGAAGAGCCCTCGAGAGCGGGTGGAGGCTTCCTCTCCTGCTTCTGTGCAGAGAACGGGTCTGGGGCATCCGCAGCCCTCACAGCTGCCCCGTCCGTCACCCCGTTTATACCACGCCTCCCTCCCTCCTTAACAGAAGGCTTCCGTTGAGGCTAATTCTTTTTTTTTTTTTAATTTTTCAGAACGGAATATGGTCAAGGAGCTTTGGTTCTGGAATTTAGGTTTAATCACAAAAACAGGCTTAAATGAAACCGTGGAAAGCTCGATGCCCCAGCACAGGCCGAGGCCTGAGATCATGAAGAAAAAGCTGCCAGGAGGCTGGGAATCCACTCAGCTGCCCAGTTTTCTTGCCCAAGCTCTGTAAAGGCCTGATGTGGACAGAGGCCCCAGGGAAAAGGGCTCTCGTGAAGGATACAGGCAGAGGCCGGAACAAATAGACCCATGCTCTCAAACGTTCACATGTACAGGAATCCCCTGCGAATCTCGTCCACCTGCAGACTCTGATTCAGTGGGTCTGGGTCGGGGCCGAGACTCTGCATTTCTCACAAGCTCCAAGGTGGTACCTTGCCACTGGACCACGGACTGCACTTTGACAGCTAAGGAATTAGATCCATTCCCAGATCGCTCAGGACTCTTAACAGCCCATGGTGACTCCATGGATAGAGCCTTCCCTGCTGGAGCTACGACGACGCTGGGACATACAAACCCCCAGCCTGCAGCACCTCGTGTACAGTAGGCACTTAACGCACATCTGCCGTGATGGCCTCCTGACCTAACGGATGCGGTTAGGGGGTGAGATTAATGAACCTTCCAGGTGTAGAGACAACTGTCCAGCCCAACAAGCATTTCAAGCAGTTTTCAAGGCATCTCCAACCCAACTTCAACAGCACATCAGAGGCCCCAGGAAAGGATTATTCTGCCTACTCCATGTTTGCCTACTTAGCACCTAAACTCCCTGACTTTTCACCTCATTCTTTGTTCTGTTTCAATTTTCCTGGGTCCAACCACATTGCTTATTCTCTAGCCACGCCCTTACTTACCACTTAAGTATGACACACATGCTTGACTTCCCTGGACCTAAATTCTGTCTCATCAGTGGACTGTGCGATGCTCTTCTCTGCCTGATCGAAAAACCTGGGCTAGCTCACAGCTCACCTTCCCCGTCTGTCCTGGCCTGTCGAGCTGGTGGACCCATGTGGCAACACGGTCTGGGGAGTGAAATGCTGGTCTTGGAGACAAGCATTCCAGGCTCAAGCCCAGCTTCTCTGTCTACTCATTCTGTGACCTTGGACGAGTAACTTATCAGCTCTGAGTCTCAGTTCTATCCTCTAGGGGAAGGACCACATCTACCTAAGACTAAATAAGAAAACACATGTGGAAACACCTGTTCTGGACCAAATGCATTTCCCTCCCCTTTTCCTTGGTGATCGATGAAAATGTCTAGAGCCAGGCTGCTTTATGTCAACTCTCTATAGATTTGTTCCTTGAAAACTTTGGAAGCACTTGACATTTCAGTTAAATTTGTTAAACTGCCAGAGCATTACCAAGGTGCACCTTAAGTTCATTTTGTAGTTCACGCCACCATCTTGAAACAAAATGTCAGCCAGTAAGTTTCTCAGAGGGGCCCATTATCTGTAATATTCATGGAATCAATGAAATATGATGCTCAGTGGAGAGTACGCAGGTGCCCAGAGTGAGGCCTCTGGTTTACAGAGCTGCTAGTGTCAGAATTGACAGAGTTCAAGGATGAACCATGTGATTGCCTCTGTTCACTGGCTTCGTTTCTGATCAGCCTTTAAGAAGTCATCTGCTTTTATCAAATATCATAGGGAACAGTGGAAAAGATGGGAAGGGCAGTGATGTTCCCCAAAACAGGCCAAGTGTGAGACACTTGGTAAGCACCTGACCAGATTACTGGGTTTAACCTTCATCGTAATGCTGTGAGGTAGCTATTAGTAAGCTGATTTTACAAATGAGATAACTGAGACTCAGAGAGGTTAAATAACCCATCCAAGGTCCCACAGCCAGTAACAGGGGCGCATTCTCAGGTCTGCTTGACTCCAATCCATGCCCTTCACACAACACAGGTATAAAAGAGGTCTATAATTTAGAGAGTTCTGAGTTAGGCAACGATCAAGATAGGGGTGTATAGGGTAACAACAAAGATGCACAGACCACATCAATCTCTGTATCAATTTCCCCACATGATCTGATGGCTTCGATGCCTGCTTGTTCCTCTGCTGCCTCGAGCAGGACACACTTGAGGTCATCCCTGGACAGGGATGGCCCTCTGCAACGTGGCTCTCCATGGTGGGTGGAGGAAGGGTGCAAGTCCAGATCACCTGGGGAACATTTTCAGATCTCCTCCACAATCATCATGTGCAGTAAAAGTGTTCCCCTGCACCTTCTGGTAGAGGGACCATCAGCAGGGGAAGGCCTAAAGTAGGAATATTCCTTTAGAAAGCACAGCTGGAGTACCTTTCTGGAAGCCAGACTTCTCTACCCTCCAATAACGAGCCGATGGCATGGTCAGCAAGCAGAATATCAGGGCTTTCCCGCCCATCCTCCGCCACCTATGCTGACTGGGAGTCAAGAGATCCGTCAGACCCACAGATGATTGGAAAGCCACCTCCTCGAATCACATCAGTCCCCTTTCGTAGTAAAACATTCCCCAGAGACACTAATAGCAAAATTAACTCACTTGAGTCCTACTATGTCCCTTTCCACCACTAGAAGAGGTGTCAACTGACGGAGAAATGGCCAAAGGGCAGGAAGCGGGAGGTGGGGAGAACAAAAGGCCGAAAGAACCCACCAAGGGCATCCATGTGCCCTTCAATAATTAATCAGTTAATAACTAGTCAATTCACCCTTCAGGAAGCAAGAATTGAGAACTGACCACTGATGACTGGAAGTATGTGGGTTTGCTTTTTAAAAACAAAACAAAACAAAACAAACAACTCAAGAATGCCAGGGGTTTGGGGAGAGGGAGGGAGGGATGAATAGATGGAGCACAGGGGATTTTTAGGGCGATGAAACTATTCCGTACGGTACTATAGTGGTGGCTACGTGTCATTATGCATTTGTCAAAGCCCATAGAACGTACAACATCAAGAGTGAACCCTAATGTAAACTATGGAATTTGGTTGATAATGATGGGCCCATGTTGGTTCATCAATTGTACCAAATATGCCGCACTGGTGGGGGATGTTGAGGGTAGGGGAGTATATCTATGTGTGTGGGGGGACTATGTGGGAACTCTGTATTTTCTGCTCAGTTCTGCTATAAACCTGAAACTGCTCTAAAAAAATAAAGTCTATTAATAAAAAGAAAACCAAAAGAGGATGCCCGCCTCAAGCCCCCGTTAGACAGGCTCTAGGAACAGGGGCCGGGGTTCGGCGCCGGAGCCTGCCTGGGCGGAGCTACCCGCGGGGCCGCCGCTCTCCCGCATACCGACGGGCATGCCGATCCCATAGCCCTTGGTGTCCAGCAGGCCCCCAATCTGGGTGAGGTTGCAGTTGCGCTGCCGGTAGTACTCATTCATGGTGGACTCCAGGAGGAAGGCGTAGTTGGAATTCAACACCCTGGCGATCCCCTCCTCCGTGCTCTTCACAAACACGCTCGGCTGCTTGGAGTACATGTAATTCCACATGCGCTGGTAGGTCTGGTAGCGGGAGTTCTGGGGAAAGAGCACAAGCCAGCGGGTTGGGAAAAGAGGGAGGAAGCAGGGGTTTAGACTGAGAAGTCTGCCCCTTCTGCTCCTCAGTCCCCCTTGTGATGGCCAAGAACCTTCTCCCTGCCATCTCTCAGCTGCCACCGCTTTAACGGCAGGAGGAGAGAGCTGTGCTTCGACACTTTTGCAGAAAGACAGAGAAGGAACAGGGTCCGAAGGCGCTGTGAACGGCCTACTGGTTCAATAATTGTTTTGCCTCATCCACCCTCCAGAGGTCTTCCGTTGCCAACTGCATGTTCTGACCCAAGTGAGAATGGAAATTCTGGCCGTGTCCTCCGCTCTCCTCCAGCGTGGAGACACTGAACCCGGGTTCACTCTGGACTTCCAAGGGACATCAGCTGAAGGAGCAGGGCCAGCTGTCCTCTGTCAGCCCAGAGCCCAGCTACCAATCACATATCCAGCACTGGCTTCTACTTTACAGATAATAACAAGACGGAGAGGATTCTAGGGGTCTACCCGAGCCCTGCGTTTGCAACAGCAAACAGAACTGAGACTGATATGGGAAACAAAACTGAAGGCCTTGGACTTGTTTCACATGAAAATGAACTTCTAGGGTCTTTGGTTGGTTGGACACCCCTTAACTCCGGGGGAATTGGCTTCCCTAGAAGAAGCAAATGGAGATGATTCCAGTATCCGACCCAGCTGTCAGCCTTGGTGATCAGTCACCACTGTGGCAGGGGTGCTCCTGAGCCTCACAAGGGAATCTCAGAGAATCTCAGAAACCCGATCTGAGACCTCTCTAGTCTGGGATCAATGAAACCCGTTCAGCTTAACCCAGAGTTTCTTACGCTTCAGTCATTGGTATATTATTCCAACCTTGCTTTGGCTAAGTAGTACTTATAAAACTTAGCCGTCTTAAAAAATTTAAATGCAAATGTTAGCCTCATGCTACGCAGTGATATAAAGAAAAGAACAGGTTAGATTCGCTGCATATTTCTTTTCTAGTACTCATTAAAATAAATATGAAACTATTGCAATTAAAAAATAGTTCTACCACTAAAATCATCTCAGGTACCACTAATCATTCATGTACAGCGCTTTGGGACAAGGCTAATACTAAACCAAAGTGCTTCGGGGACCTCGTTCCAGGGTATTTTGTGGAGTAGGGGGAAAATGAGCCCCATGAGAACCATCAAGCTGGGTGTTCAAAACGGCTAATGGGATTAGGCAAGATGCTTTTATCTCCAGCGGACAAACATCTCCACTGTAATCTGCCCAATGCCCGATGCTGGCGAGCCGCCGTATGGGTTTACTTGGAAGAAGGTCATGCTGGAGCCTCCGTGAATCGTGCCATACTCGATGGCGGTCTGGTCAGCCAGGTCATCCACTGACTCAATGGGCACATCCATGCGCTGCACGGTCAGGAAAGCTGCCAGGTTGGCCGTGTAGGATGAGATGATGATCAGTGTGAATGCCCACCTGTGTAGGAAAAGACCAGGAAGCCATCACTGCCCGGGCCCTCCCAGGAGTCTTAGCCCCCATCCCCAGTCCTGCTGCAACATGGGAGAGACCAGGTGACCCTCTTATGAAGGAGCTCTCTGCTTAGTGGGGAAAGAGAAAAGAGTCAGGGCATATGATGTCAGCAGAGGTGAACAGTGTTGCCTGGAAGACGACAGTGGTTTTCTTTTTCTTGTTTCCTTGATTATTGGGTTACTACTCAAAAGAAGCATGCCCATGATCATGAGACAGCTTGGGAGATGGTGAGCTAGTGAATGAGCTAAGGGTGCCAGCTCTGGGGACTCCGTTCAGAGTAGAGCTGGGATGGCTCCCCCGGCCTCCTCGTGATGCAGCCAACCTTCCGAAGAGCATCGCCATGTACTGAGCACCTGCCACGAGGCCACACCCACTACCCTGTGTCCGCCCCGCAACTCAGGGAGGTGAACTTCTTATCCCGATTTTATAGATGAGGAAACCGAGACCCAGAGAAGCAAAGCAACGTGGCCAAGTAACACAGTGATACATTCGTATTCTAAAACCAGTTCTGCGAATCGTCAGGGCAGCAACTCTTCAAGATGAGCTGGTGAAAAGCACCTTTGAATGGCTGAGAAGTTAGTATTAGAACGCACTTTTGCAATGGTCATACTACTTCGAGATGGAAGGTTGTTTTATGGGGTAGATTGAACTCATTTACAATTAGAATAGCTTTGCAACGCGGACAGCATGCATGCTAAAGTCATTAAAACCAGTTTGTTCACTTAAGTAGGTTAAACAAGACTTCTACCATCTGGGCAGCAGCACGGAGCTGCTTCCTAATCCATTTGTTTATAGGGGTTCAAAGATATATGTAAGCACAACTGCGGTTGGATGATCGCCAAATTCTGAATCAGTGGAGTCTGAATTAATGAGCCCTCACTCATTACAAAGACACTGCCAACTCAGGCATCGTGTTTGCCACGGGACGCAGCTGCCAGCAGCTTCAGGTGGGTTTTCACGAGCAGGAAGTCCCACTGCCTCCTTTGCCACCGTGTCCAATAACTCCTGCAGGCTGAAGTGAAGGGACAGGAGTATCTGCCAACTCGATAGGTGCACCCACATGCCAGACCACCAGATCCGTGTGCCAGACCACCAGTAAGGGATCTGGTTTTCGTTCCAGCTTTGTCCAGTTCCGCCTATGAGACTCTGGGGAGAAGCCACACGCCGCCTCTGAGCTCGTGCGCTTGTCTAATAAACAGAGATCATAATGCCTGCTCCGCCTGTCTTTGAAAAGTTTTGAGATCAAATGAGATAATATGCCACTAGTGACTAATAATCTGTAAAGGATGAGACGAATGTGAGATACAGAGATGTGCAGAGACAGGTCCCTGCACTGAGTATGGTGCAAATCATTTGGCCACCTTCCCTGTGGGTGACTTGTAAGGGCCGGGTGACCCTCCATCCTCAAAGCCTGCTTTCCTGGCTCCTGCCTGGGCTCTCACACTCTCCTGCAAGTTGTTTCTCATGACCATCCCCCAGAGGAGGCTGGGGTGGTGGGGGTGAGGGTCCCCAGGTGGAGGCGAGAATCTAGAAGCTGCTCTGCTCCATCACTGGAGGTTAATGAGCCCTGGATGTGGACATGAACTCAGAGTTGGCTGGGGAGGTTCCCCGAGCCCCACGGCCGTGCTGGCGTCTGTTCCACCCTGGGCAGCTGTGTGGCTGTTCATGCCACTGGTCACAAGGGATGGTTCAGAGAACGTAGGTGGCTCAGGGCAAGCCCATCGCCTCTGCTAAGAAAGCAAATCACGCCCACACTTTCTCCGGAGGGGTCAGTGGGGACTTGCTGCTGTGCAAAAGGGGCACTGTCACTTGTAAAGCTGGCATTTTCGTTAGCAACATGGCATTTTCTGTCACTTGCTCTGGATGAGGATGCCAAGGTAGGCCACCAATGCCCTGTTTTCTGACCTTCCACTCCCCAGGGAGCCAACCAAACAGAGGCCCTGATTTAACAACCAAGAACTCCGGGAGGCAGAGGGGCACACTGACACTGCCAGATCGGGGCTGGGGAGGGCTGAGCCCCCCTCCCACACACGCTCTGGGGCAGAGTACCCCAGCCAGCTTTTGAAAGCACTGCTGAGCTGGTGGGCTGAGGGCTGGCAGCCTGCAGGGCAGGTGGTCCTCTTCAGCGCCAGGGCAGCCGGTCTCTGGAGGAGAGAATCCCAGGGGGCGGGAGCTGACAGGTGACAGACTCAGGCAATGGGGCCTACATGCAGCGCATGGGAACGAAAAGCCCAGGTAGAGAGGGATCAAGACCTACAGCCGACTTCTGCTCATCTCCAGGTTTCTGCTCAGACTTCCTGCATCTCGAGGGAGCTCTGAGATGATACCTGCCGAGACCATCTATTCTGCTGGGGAACGTGTGACCCAGCTCCCCACGGTAATCTGCTCAGTGACCCCAGGCAACTATCTGATAGTGGGTGAGCACTTTGCTCAAATGGTTAAAATCCTACTGGATTTGTCACTTACCAGGGAAAACAAAAACCCCAGCTGGGAAGCGGTCACCGTCCCAGCTGTGTTCCCACCTCCCGATCACTCAGTGCGGTGGCTCCTCCAGAACTGTCCAGGTCACCCTCTGTCCCCAGCACCCATGCCCTTTCCTTTTCCCTCTGGCTTGCACAGGCTGAGAAGAAGGGGAGAGAACCAAGGTTGGAAGTCCTATAAGCTGTGACACCAAACCCGACAGTAGGTTTTTAAGGGAGGATGGGGAACTCACCTCTCAAGGCTACACTGATATTTCATGCCCTCCCCCCACCCCATAACAATCTAATAGCATGATTCGTCCACACAGCTAAGTAGCTCTTCCAGGTTTCGAAGAGCTTTCCCACACATCGAATCACTCCATCATGTTTTTTGACCTGTCTGAGCCAAGAGGAGAAGGGCGTTTCAGGCAGAGGCTGGCTGACTGCCTACATGGAGCATGCTATTAACTCTCTCTCCAAGGTCCTGTCCAAATGTGAGTGACTAAGAGCTTGCATCCCCACCCGCTGTCCCCTCTCCGGTGAGATGGACAGGTCCAGCAGGCCCCCAGAGCCAGGTGCAGAGGAACATAGCTCCAGAAAGTGGTTGGAGAGGGGGCGATGTGGCAGGGGCTTGGATTCCTCCCTCAGGGCCAGGCTGCTACAAGTTCATATTTGCATAAATCTGCATATGCTTTTGCAGGCCCCACCCCTTAACTGCTGGTCATTTTCAGGTCAGGAAGTTACAACAGCTTTGGTGTGGGCTTTCAAGGCATATTCTCACTCAGTCTCCTTTCCTGCCTTGGCTTCCCTCTGCATCCAGACCTCCGCGGCAGAGAATGGGGAGGGAGATAAGATGGCTTAAAGGGGGCCCACCCACTGTCCCCAAACCTTCTGAGCAGGCAGAAGGTAGAGCCGAGGTTCCTGCCCACCCGAAGCTGGATCAGGGCTCATCCGAGGACCGGGGGTCTTACCAGACACCACTGACGCAGCGGGTGGATAAGGCCCGAGGGGCGATGGTGGAGCCCTGCTGCATGAAGCCCCCGACCGGAAACCAGAGGCTGTTGCCGAGGGAGTACTGGTTCACCAGGAGGTTGCACCGGCCCTGGGCACACGGGTGGGGGCTGTACCACTCGTAGGGGGTCAACCTGCAGGAGAAAGGAGCACATACCAGTGCTGTGGAGGGTGGACGTGGGGGTCGTGGGGGCGTTGTCCTCTTTGGCCTCACCTCTGGACCTCAGTAGCTGGCCTATGGCCTTGGGCAAGCCAATACCCCCTCCCCTACTGTGGGACTTCGATTTTCCCATCGAAAAGTGAGAATGTTGGACTATGAGGTTCTGGCACTGTCTTTCTTTAATAAAAGAAACATTTTAAATTTTTCAAAATAAATCAGGTCAAGGGGTAGCTGGCTGGGAACTGCTTGTTCTGCCTTCTGCAGTCCCCCAAAGTGGCCACAGAGAGACCCCAGGGCCCCACAGAGCCATGATTTGAAAACCCTCAGCCCAGAGCAGTAGTTCTCAAACCCGAACATACGTCAGAATCACCAGAAAGGCTCATGAAAACACAGATTGCTGGGCCCCACCCCCAGAGCATCTGATTAGGTAAGTGTGGCCGAGGCCAAAGAATCTGCACATCCCTAGGTGATGCTGATGCCACTGGTCCAGGGACCACACTTTGAGAACCACTGGCCTAGATGGTCCCTCAGGCTGTGGTTCCCAATCCTGTCTATTTTTCAGACTCACCTGGGACCTTTTAAAATAATGCCAACCCCTGGATTCCAGGCGCAGAATTTCTGATTTAATTTGTCCAGGTAAGGCCAGTCATCAGTATTTTTCAGGGCTCCCCAGGTGAGCATGGTAGGTACCCCCTCCCGCTGTCCCTCCCAGCCTCACGCCGGCCCCTCTCTGAGCAGCTCCTCTGATGTCTAGACTGCTCTTTCTTCCTGCCCATCAGACACGTGCTCTCCCTCCTCTGTCCGACAGCTCCCGCCTGTCTCCCGCACAAAGCCTTCCAGCTCCGATGCGAGATGCCTGTGCTGAGCAGGGCCGGTGCTGCGTGTTCACAGGGTGTCATCATCGTCCCCGGCCTTCGCTCAGCCTAGTCTGCACGTGCGGAGCTGCAGGGCTCGCCCACATTCCCCTCGCTGCTGCTGGCTCCTGAACACACGGCCAATGCGCCTGCGCTGGCCTGGCGTCCCGAGATGTGCTCCCTCCCTCCGTGGCCTTGGGGGGCTGGCTTCTCCCCGTGGTGCCTCCCCTCGGTGGTGGTTCCCAAGCCTATGGGCCACTGGAAGTAAGCTTCAAAAATACGGGTTCCCCGGCCCCATCCCTAGAGATTCTAAGATGATCAGACTTGGAAATTCAAGTTTTTAAAAGCTCCCTGTCTGTCTCTGATATCAGCTGGCTTGGGAACAGCAGCCTTAGATCAGTGGTTTTCAAACATTTTTGCCCCCTCTAAAATCCTACCCAGAAGTACAATAGATAAGAGAAAAGTGGAGCTGGCCTGGATGGAGACGGATTGGGGCCCCAGGGCTCTGTCTGCCCTGCCCCTCCAAGTCTCTGTACTTTCCAGGAGCTTCCACGGTCCATAAACCCTGTTTGAAAGCCACCACCTTAGGCCAGATTACCCTAGGCTCAGATATTTTGGATATTACACATATATAGGATATACAATCAGACCTTTTGCACAAATTTTTGGTTATTCTTTTTGTTAATTCTAGATCCTGGGGGGCAGTATGCGTGCATATGTGTGTCTGGAAACCAAGCTCTAAGAGCATTTCCAGGCCCCCTAGGTCACCGGAGAGCTGTGACTTGCTCCACACAGGGGCTCAATCACAGGGGGCAGGAGTGAACTGTGGGGCAGTGGAGCTGGGACTCAGGGGGATGGCTCCCCCCAAGCAGCCACAGACAGTGCGGGGAAGTGGAGAGGAATGTGTCAGACAGCATCCCAGCTCCCGCGCACCTCTCCAGTCGTCACGACAACAGATACTTGATAGGGCAGTGTCTACAGGCCAAGAGGGTAGGTGGCGCCCGAGCAGCACATGCAGCGGCCCTCAAAGATGACCAGGGTGTGAGCAAGGCCTTTCTCTGTTTGGTGGATCTCATGGGTTGGGGACAACTTCCTGAACTTGGCTTTGATCTCCACTGAAAGAGGCACGGACTGGGTGCTTCAATGCCTCCTAGGCAGAGGTTAGACGCCCCACAGTTCCTTGGGGCTCCATCTTCTAACTAGAGCCAGCACAGGATCCCCTTGAGCACTGGGTAGATAGGCTCTCGGGGAAGACCACACCCTGCAGACGCAGAATATTCACTACTGAATCACCCAGCCCTGCCACATGGCCCCAAGGGGAAGGAAACTGAAGAGGAGAGGCCGGGCCAGAGCCACTGTCAGCCCTCTCAAAGCTCGCCCTGAGTGGTTCTCGCTCCTCTGGGATGGTGAGCAGGACACAGAGCTGGAAGCAGGGGTCTGAGTGCGACCCTGAACCATGAGAGCTTGCTCTGCTTCTGGAGAGTCAGCTGGCTCTCCTGCAGCCCAGGCTGGTCCAACTTAGCCTCAGAGAGCAACAACCCTCTCTGTGTACTTTCCTGGGAGGACTCAGCAGAGGGAGGTGCCTCAGGTTCTTCTCTAGGCCCAGGGACAGTCTCTGGTCTCCAGGGATGGGGCAGGGTTGGGGCATGCCTGTTCTCCCCTACCCCTGATCTGGACCACTTGTCTCAACTCAGACTACTTGCCAAGGCCTCTCTCCATCCTGCCTTCCTGCCATTAGCCCCCCTTCACATTTCCCGTTCAACGAGGCAGCTGTGTTTTCACAGGCAGAGCTGGGCTGGGGAAGGGCCAGGCCCTCTGCAGAGGAGGCCTTCTCCCTTGCCTGTGCCACCGTGGCCTCCGGTCCCCCTCTCCGGATTGGCAGGCTCTGTTTCTTGTCATTCAGCACTTTGTGGCAGATCCGGGCAGGGACGGATGCCAGGGCAGCCAAATGCACAGTACTTAATCGGAGTGATTTTCCTACCACCTTCCTCCCCTTCTCTCTCTCCCAAGGCTCCGACACAGCAGGGGGCTGGGGGCTGGGGGACTGGATGGGTAAGAGGCAGGGGTGCAGAAGCAAATTCGGACAAGCTCGCGTGAGGGGATGTGCACGTGGATGGATGGATGGGTAGGACCAGGTCCTGAGTCCCTCTCCCATCCCTCTGCTTTGGCACCAAGTCTTCTCATCCCCGCCCCTCTCCTGCTCCCCACCCCCTCCGTGCAGTTCCCAGAGGTGGACACGAGGTGGCGGTGTGAGGACAGGGAAGGGGAGAGGCATGTACCGAGCCACTAGGAAGAGGACGCAGCTGACCGCCAGATAGGCTAGAAGCATGAAGAGCCAGACGCCCGGAGAAAATGGGTCCAGGAAGGAGAAATAGCCAGGTCTGCGTCCCTGGAAATGGAGATAAAAACAAGATTCACTGTACACACTCAGTCAGAATGGCCCTTGGGCAGGGCAGGGCAGAGTGGGTGGTGAGCTGGGTCCTGTCCGATTGCACTGCCTAGGGTTATGGGCGCTTGGTTTAAATGACAGCAGGGGATGCTCTGAAACACCTACCCAGCCCTGACCTCAGCAAATGAGTCAAAGGAACAGCCCGGGCCTCGTCACTTCCTAGGATGAGGGAAGCTCTGTGCTGAGCAGGTAGAGCAGCCCCCAGTGCCTCTTACGTGCTGTTCCATGTCCTCCAGGGGCGGCGCGGCTGGGCTCTGAAGCACCTCTGAGCCGCCGATGTCCGTGCTGCTGGATGGGACACTAGCACCCCTCCCTGACACCCACGTCTTTCTCAGGAGGATGCTAATACAGCAGGCATCCTTGGGATTTTGTTTGCAGGGTGATCTCAGACACAGTGAGACCTTCTCCTGTAAACCTCAAATCAGTGCTGTGAGGCCTGATTCTTATTTTCATTTTATCAGGGAAGAAATCAAAGCCCAGGGCAGTCGAGAGATGTGTCCAAGGTTATACGGCTAATCAGTGGAAAAGCTGGGACTCAAATGCACACTTTCTGACACAAAGCCCAGGACCACGATGCTATGGGAAAGCATGTTTGTCCCCAGCCCAGGGACATGCTTGGCCAGAGTCGTGGGACCCAAGGGATGGAGCCAGGAACAGAAAGCTTGGGGGCCAAGCCCCAGGGATTTTCTGCAGGAAATTGCTTCCTCCCGGTCTTTAACTGCGTGGTCTTGGGCAAGTGCCCACCCCTCTCCAGCCTTGGCTGGAGCTGGACTAGATCAAAGGTGATACCCTGGCGACCTACAGCCCACAGACAACTTGTTTATCTGCGGTGCCTACCCATCTTGATCAGTTGCCAACATTCAATGATTGGGAGATTCCACATAAAAATCCAGATTTGTGGCTTTTAAAAAATGGGTGATCTGGCAACACTGGATCTAATTCTCAACTGGCCAGAGGTGAGTGGTGGCTTCCCACTCAAGACGGGGCCCTCTCCCCGGGTCCCCACTGCCGCCTTGTTCTTGCACCAGGCTTGCTTCTTCCATTTACTATGAAACCACTGGACCAGATGCTCCCTAAGGACCATTCTAAATCGAAAATTATGTGATTTTATGATTTCAGGGATCTAGGAAGTCCACGAACAGGGCAGAAAATCAGTATTAAACTCAGGGGTCTATGAACAGGTAAACTTTCAAGTTCAAGAGCACATCCATCACGGCACAAACTCCTGTCAGTATCAAAGTGTGTCATTTTTACTACCGGGGTCCCCAGAAACCTGAAGGGGAACTACCTACGCCAATACTAAGCTGATCTCAACCAGCTTTCTGGGCTTACGTTATCCACAGGCAGCTAGACCATGGAGACCATGCTGAGAAACTCGAGGTAGCCATAACTGGTCCCACCGCAGCATCTAAGGTAGGGGTGGGGCTGGGGGAGATAGCTCTGCATGGCCCCACTGTATTCACACAGTATTCAACTTCTCTTCTGGTGGGATTTCCATCCCTTCTCGGCAAGCCAGCAGGCACATCTCCGAAGCACTTGGGGTGCAGTTTTACACTCCCACTTGGGGGCACAGCCCAGAGGGTGCGGAGTGAAGAAGTCAATAGCTTACCCTCTGCCGATGGGGCCCCTGCTCTGGGACCTTGCAGCCCTTCATCAGTGCGACAATGACCTCTTGGGTGGCCTGTCTGAAGCTGGCTTTCTCTCCCAATTGGGCTTCAGCCAACCAGGGAACTTCCCTTTGATACCAATTGCAAGTTCTCTGCCTCATGTGCATTCATGCTTGAGCTGCAGAGGACACTTAGGTGATTTACGGGGAAAAATAAAACCACCTGAGGGACAAAGCATGGGAACCGAGGGAACAGGGGAGAAATGGGGAGAAGACCACTTGAGCATGTCTGGTCCTGGCACTATGTACATCCTCTAACAGGAAGAAGAACTCAAGAGCAGCAGAATCGGGGGCCCCAGTTAGTCATATTCCCGCATCCATCACCAGGTAACCATGACTTCGCCATCGTCCTAAGAACCAGTGGCAGACGTGGGAAGGCACAGTGCAGAACCCACACACAGAGACCAGCAGGGGACAGAGGAGACATCATGCTACACACCTGCTGCAGCAGAAATCACTAGCTTGGGCTACTCTTGGGGTACTTCTATACCCCCGAGTTTCTCTGGGCAAACGTACATGAATTCTACACCTGTCACTCATGACTGTTTCAGTCGGTGTCTCTAAATTGAGAGATATCCAGGAGAAAAAAAAAACTTTTATTGTTGCTTTCTGAATCTGAAACCCCATTAGATGCTCAGTGTCAGAAATCTATACCTGATTCTATCACAACGTGTGAAATTGAGGGAAATGACAGCCCTATTTAAAGCTGCCATATTTGGTTATGGGTGATAAGCAATGATGCACAGCCATGGGAAAAATTCCTGGAGACTCAAGTTGTAAAACATAGAGCATCACACAAACAAGGATCAAGACATAAACAGAGCTCCACTGGAAACATATCAGTCACGTTGGCAAGGCAACATCTGATTCCACTTGTGATTGACTGACGCCAACCAGGAGAGCAAGGAATGGGCAGTCATTTGAGATTTGGGTCTGGGCTCACACAGCCTGGGTTTGGGCTGAGCCCAGGCTGTTTTTCTGATGCCAAAGAGAAGTAAGTTCCTTGCAAGGCTCTGGACGCCTACCATCTTTTCTATGTGGATGCTTTAGATTGCTTCCTTCCCAAAAGACGTCCAAGTCAGTGGTGCTTAGAGCAAATCAGGTGTCACATGGCACAGGCATTCCTTCCAAATAACAGATTTTCCTTAACCCAAAGGATACATACATACTGGTGACGCTTTTCTTCTGAAGCACTCAAAATGCTTCACTACATTCTCTTGATTTCAATACTCAGTTCTCCATACTGACAGATGGAAAATCTGGGACCCAGGGAGGTTAAGTGCTTTGCTCAAATCATTGGTGATGACTTCAATTTCTCTGGTGCTCATTCGTCAAGCTGGGCCCAGGGATGCCTCGCTCTCCTTCTTTCAAGCAGCATCTGTAGCGCATCTTCCTCTCCTTTTAATCTTTGCAACTTGCTCCAATAAACTCCCTAATTAATCCCACGCCTTCTCCCCAGTGCCAGCAGAGTCCCAGCCTGCTCTATCTCACCCCCTTAAAGAACTCTAAAACGTTATTTATTTATACCCATCATCATTTGTTGTGACTCTGTTGTATTTATGGACATAATGTATTGATTTATACATGTCTCTGTTGACTGCAAGTTGGCCTGGTTCCTTCTGGTCAATACAGCCATTCTGAAGGTAGATAATTGGTTATATGTCGTCTATGCCTCAGATGTCTAGGACAGGTCAAGCCCTGTAGATGGGACTGAAAAGTTAGAGGGCACCCGCATTAGAACTGGTTCCTTGACTTTTGTACTGTGCTTAAGACTGACCACATTCAGGGCCAGCTTCACTGACGCTGTCCGATGGGAGAGACTGGGCTGGTCACCAAGTGACCACAATCCCCCTCGTGGTGAGGCCCTTTGTGTGTGAGCAGTGGAGCTGCCCGTGGAGCTGCAAAGTGACACTAATCTCCTTTTGCATGCTGAAATTTCCTCTTTTCCTTGAAAAAAAAAAACCTGTTCACTCACTGATACTGCACTCTATGTGTACTGGAAGAAATGACATTATTGTAAGAAAGTAATTGCTCTCCCAGAATCTGGAGCCAAATGTGCAAGGACACCAGAGCCAGGTCATGCGGGACAGGGAGTGAATTAAAACACAAGACCCTGGAGTCAGGCGGTCCAGGCTGGAATCCTGGCTGTACCACTTACAGCTATGTGACCCTGGGCAAGTTACTTAACCTCACTGGGCCCTCACTTCCTCTTCTGTAACATGTGGTAATAATAAAATGCGTTGTCTAAACACACAGCAAGGGATATTTAAGTGTTTGCTCCCCCTCTGTCTGATGGTAGCTGTGAATGGGGTGCAGGAGGGCGGTAATGTGACAAAGGAGGGACCCTCCTCTTACACTGCTGCTCTCTCAATGAACAAGAAACGCTATTTTCTTTCCTAAAGTAACACACGCTCAAGATGCTCGTGGGGAGAATGCCATCTGGCCACAGTCACTTTCCATAACTCCTAGAGCTTGTACGGGTTATAATACATGAATCACAAGGGTTCCCCAGGGCTCCCCAAGGGAGCCATTAGGGTAATACCAGGCTCCCTTCTGGAAGGATGGCTCTTAGAAGCTGGGGATTGCAAGCTTTGGAACTCAGTTCCGCCTCCGCCTTCCTAAAGAAGTCGCAGGCGGAGTGGGCCAGATGTGGGGGTTTCCCCTGTGTACCCTCGTCACCACCTCCTACACACGCACTAGAGACGCCAGCTCTTCCTTTCCTGAACCCACGCCCTTCCCCAGCAGAGCCAAGACAAGGGCTTGTCATGACCCCCATGTGGTTTTGCCAGTCTTTAGAACCAAAGCACAGTTTATAGAATGGTTTCTTTCCACGCCCAGTTGTCATCAATGGTCAGTAAAACATACTTCAGGGCTGAAGAAAGAGATAAGAGAGACAGTCTCCATGACTCCTTCTGGAAGAAGCAGAAGGAGGTGATTTCTTCCTATCACTCCCCCCGGCCCCCAGGGATCCATGGGTAACCTCCCTCAGTGTGTCTGCGATGGATTGTCTTGAAGATATTTTGGTTCAGCATGCACTTCTCACCTCTGACTCCAAGAGGAAAAAAAGAAGTAAGCAATGAGTTCATCTCCACGAAAAACACCCAGATGGGCTTGTCGCCCATTTAACCCAGAGGCTGCCATATCTAGTCTCACTCCGCTGATTGGAAATCTGTCACGAGAAGACCTACGTTCTCAACCTGGCCCTGACCTTGGCTGGCTGAGTGATCCCAGCTGAGCCTCTCTGCTTCTCTGGGTGCCGTTTTCTGCTTCCAGAAGATGGGCTACCACGACCAGCACGAAGAGGGGATGTGAGAATTACTAAAGTCATGTTGATGGAACGCCGTGAGCATCTCGAGAGAGGAACACCCAACAAATAACGAATATGAACATGATAATGCATTCCGGGAACCGTATTTCCATTACATGGGCTATCATCTTCCTTGGCTTTAAGGAACGGAACTCGATTCATTCTCTGTTTCCTTAGAACAGAGTATTAAGCAGCATTAGAAATGATTCACTGGTTTACTTAGCATTGTTCTCCACTTTCCTAGACAATATTCCTGAGATGGAAACAGACCTTCTTGGAAAACGAGTAATACTTCCAGCAAAGACGCCAGGCATTAGTTTAAAGCTGACATTTATTTCTTGCTCACTTTTTAATCACTGTCTAGTTTTAAATTTTTTCTTCCTTTAGAGAGAAGATTCTAGCCAAGAGTTAAGAAGAGAAAAAGGACAGAGTATGAAGCTTTCACATTTGTTAATCAAAGGTGGAGAAAGACATGGTAGGGAAAAAACAGTAAACACACATTTTCAAGGGAGCCTTAGATGCTCTGGCTGGCTTAGGACTCTAGATGGAATCA